AGCAGAGAATTTTAGTCTTCTTTTGTTTTTTTAATCAAGCTTTTTGATTATACCATATACTGTGAAGCATATAGATATAACAAGTTATCAAGACAAGAGTTCTCAGTGACAAAGTTCTTGATGAATCATCTGCAGAGCTGAATGCTGTAGCTTTCATGTTCACAGGCTCCTGCTTTGTTTCTGCAGCAGATGTGTGTAAACTGTGGCCGGGTGGCGATGAGTGAGTGCACGGGCTGTCACAAAGTCAACTACTGCTCCACATTTTGCCAGAGGAAGGTAAGACTCAACTGTCTTTTTTCTGTCAGACACACAAAAAATAGACAGATTTCCCTGACATTTGTTATGAGTCTTTACTAATGTTTTTTCATGACAGTGCAGTTTAAAAAATAATTTATTGTTACAGCAGTCGTTGATTACTCGGTTACATTCAAATCAACTGGTAGTTGGATTTGTTGGGTTTCAAACGTGTTTCCAACTGGGGTGTTGAAGAGTTTCAAACTGTGCAAAATCAAACTCATAACATGCCTGTAAAGTGTTTCTGCTGTTTCTTCTTACTGATATATTTGCAAATAGCTAATATTATAACTTACTGGTTTGGTTTTTAAAGCCTTAATATAAGTGTTTTGGCTGCAGCCATGTTTTTTTTTTTCAGAGGTGACCATATTTGGAGGTAATCCTAAGTTATCAGCTAAAGTTAACAAATATTGTCAGCAAGCTGCATTCATAAACTAATCCCCTCATAGATACACTATAATTTTTTACAAAGTAACAGACTATAGACTACAATACAATACAACTTTATTTATATAGCACATTTAAAAACCAACGGTATACCAAAGTGCTTCACAATAAAACAGCAGGTTAAAACATGAATAATATAAGACCATTAACAAAGTACTGAATATGCTAACAGGTCAATGGCACTAATTACACAAGAATAAAAATGAATATCAAATCAAACTTGCTAAAAACACACAGGTTTTAAGTAGAAAAAGATATAAAGAAAGATAAAATTGGAATTAAGTAAAAAAATTCAGGCGTTAACTAACCGGGAAAAAAGGATTAAATAAGTGAGTTTTTAATCGTGATGTAAATGATTGGATGGAGTCAGACTATACTGAAATACTAGAACTTTACCCACTAAAACTGAAGCACAGACTTCTAGATGATCTGTACCACACAGGAAGCCATACTATTTGTCAGATCATTCAGTTAAAATGCTCATAAAGGCACTAACAATGTAAACACATGTGTGAGGCCTTGCAGGCAGTTTTTGACATTTTTCTTTTCATTTTTCATGCCAAAAGGTTGCTACTTGATTTTCAAAATCAGTCACTTCACACATCCGTCTCTTTTGTCCACAGGACTGGAAGGACCATCAACACACCTGCTCTCAGTCAGCAGGGGGCATGGCTGTCCAGCAGGAAGAGCCAATCACAGCCATTGACATGGACAAAGTGAAGTGAAGGTGTAGCAGTTTAAGAAAAAGCGTGTGCATCGTTTCAGTGAGGTTAACGGCTGCTGCAGACTGAATGACCTAAACTGGGAGAACACACCTGCTTGAAAATAGCAGTATTTTTACTTTAGTGTGAAGGTTTTTTCTCAGGTTGACATGTAAAAAAGGTCACTGATGGAGTGAGAGCTGAAGTTAGACTAGACTGACTTAGCATTTCTGAAAAGTATTAAGGAGTGTTATTGCAGCAGTATCCAATGAAGTGGTGGTTCTAACTAATATTTTCATCATAAATTTATCTTGTCCCTAATTCTATCATATTTTAGCGACTTTATTACATTGTGTCATCAGTTGTCATATGGTCTATATCTTCCGTCAGCCACTGTTACCTCTCCAATGTTGCCATTTTACCTCGTTTACCTCATTATCCTCTAAAAACAGTCCTGATTAAAGAGGACATCTTCTTTTTTGTTATTTATGCATGAGCACAGTGGCCAGATTTTGGGTTCAGTGTATGTACAAGTAATCCCTGTGAGTCAAAAGTTCAGACTTCAAAGTGCTTATATGGTCATCTCAGGAAATCAGCTTTGGCTGCTGCAACCTGCTATTAAATCCTTCTGTTTGAAAGGGAGAGCCAATCAGAAGAAAGCTGGTCAATCTTTTGACGTCTACGTGTTGATGATGAAAAGCAAGCCAGTTATTTTTAGAGTTAAATAACATTGTGTTTGGGGGGACAATTTTCAGTTGTTTTTGGGGTTTTTTTTTATATTTTTCAAATTGAACTTTTTTGTCCCCTCATGCCAAAACTTTGCAGAACATTTTTCAGCAGACAGAATTGACATATTTTGATATTAAAGAATCAAGGTTGGTTATCACTGATGAGGATTTAGAGAATTTAAAGTTGAGGAGCTTTCTTTAATTCGGAATGATGAAGTGACTTGAACATGAAACAAACAAAACTGCTGTCCTGAATGTTTTGATTTTTTTCTGGCAAAAACTATGTATGTAAATTATTATTTTCTTACATTTGTATATGTGTGTTATTCTGTTGCTATAGAGCCCTTGAAGTCCAGAAAGAATGTACAGGTATTATAAGCAATTGTAAATATAAAGGTAAAGATCTTTTTTCTTTGTGTTTCACTGATTAATAAAAAAAATAGTTCAGCAAACTACTAGTGTTTGTTTGTTTGTTTGTTTGTTTATTTGTTTGTTTGTTTGTTTGTTTGTTTATTTTGGGTTTTTATTTCATACATTAAGGCTTCTCTTCTTTTTGCACATTTAGCTTTTTTATTTTCCCTGATGTGCAGCTAAATAGAGTTTTGCTTTTTAATAACAAGTTGGTAGCCTACCTGCTATATTAGAGTGACTCCTGATTAATCATTTTGGACATGACATTTGATTCTGCTGGGTCTCAGGCCCAGCAGCACTCAGGTGTCTGCTGCTGATCACTGATAGTGAAGGAACGAGCCATTTCTGGCACTTACTGCTTAGCCTAACCACAGTGAGGTGATTTTATTGACTTAATGCCAAAATTCACAACTGTAAATGTAGAGTTGAGGGGTTTTTAAAATCGCCTTCCCTGTTGGCCTGGCCTGTTTTGATTGATGTAATCTGTTGGCCTTCTTGACTTTTCACTATCAAATAATGATAATGTTCTTTTGTGTGTTCAAGGTTCTGTAGGGACCCCATTCAGTCAGCAACTTAAACACTAGTTATAAAGCTTACTTCTGCTGACATAATGGCTTACAATCTCCCTGTGCTGCAGTGATGTAGCAGTGTTATAAATTACACGGTGGTGCCGCAGTGAAATTCTTTTTGGTAATCATTATGGATAATCTATCCATAATGAAAAAATATGACTTGAAAACACCTGAATTGTGAAATCAAGATAGAGCGATAGCAAAAAGGAAGAATGACCTATTTCAACCCTAAGGAGTGTATAAAACATAATAAAGATAATCTGGTCCTTATCAGATATTAACATTAGGAAAAGCAATCTCAGATGAACAACACATGAGTCTGTATTTCATATCAATTCAGTTTAATTTATATAGCACCAAATCACAACAACAGTTGCCTCAAGGCCCTTTATATTGTAAGGTAAAGACCCTACAATAATTCAGAGAAAACAGAGAAAATCCTGACAATCATATGACCCCATATGAGCAAGCACTTAACAGGAAGAAACCTCCAGCAAAACCATGCTCAGGGAGGGGCGCCAATCTGCTGCGACCGGTTGGGGGGGGCAGGACAAAGACGTGCGTGGAAGAGAGCCAGGGGTTAATAATAACTAATAATTAAATGCAGTTTGGTGTATAAACACATAGTGAGTGAAAAAGGTGGCTGAAAAAGAAATACTCAGTATCATTATTTATTTAAGAAAAATGCAAAAACAATGAGAAAACCTAAGTACAGCCGTACTGCTTCCATAGGAATTAAGAGATTATATAGCAGCCAGGTGCTGCTAAATCAAATGCACTTGACTAACGAATCACCAACACGTGTGTCCACCTCTATAAAAGCAGACATTTTGCAAGTTCATGGCAGTACAGTTTGAAAAAGACAGAACAAGTATGGCTTGTGGAAGGTTGGAAGGTTTGCCAGGGGGAACATGGCAGCACAGTTTATTTTTGCAAAGCTGCATCTAAACAGACTACAAGACTTCTGGAACAACGTCCTTTTGGGCAATGAGACTAAAAGTAATGTTTTTTTTCTCACCAGCAGTACCACATACATCTCACACTAGCTGTCAAGCAGGGTTGTGGAAGGGCAATGATCTCAGTCATAAACTCCTAAAGTATTACAGAGTCAAATGTGTGACCATCTCTGTGACAGCAAAAGCTTGGCCCAAAGTGAGAGATGTACATAAAACCACAAACCTCAATTAATTCTTAAATACATAATGACATTGTGGAGTAATATGTCATGTTCATGTTATGATTGTTTGTTTGTTTTTCATGTCCTACTATGTAAAACTTAAGAATTGAAAGTGTACTTGTTACTTTTTACCATGTCTGAATATGGTTGCTTAGAAATTGTTTTCTTGGGTCATGGCAGTAATATTAACCTACATGTGACCATTTCCACTCAAAATAACCATAGACTGTATATATGAGATGGACATAGCCACCTTGGCGTCACCATTTGGATTGTGCACTCATTTTAAAGCCGTGGGGTTAGTGTTCTAGCTGCTGGGGATCTGATCTTCATCTACAAACACCACATATGTTTGCAACATGAATTTCATTCTTAAAATCTGAAGAATAATGTTATATATCAGATAATTCCATAAAAAAACAAAGAAACAAAGAAAAAACTCCAAAAGGCATCAGCAACACAAACACAGCAGAAGTCCAATTAAGTGAATCCAACAAGAAGTGAAGTTCAACACACAGTGTCCACATATTGATCGAAGTGGCCACGCCCCCAGCTTTCAGTCTTAAAAAAGTTAGTCAGTAATAGAACAAGTCTTGAGCAGAGGGAACTCATTTGACCTCAGTCTGAATGTAAAGGCATTGACTGGATTAGCTCATTCAGCCTAGTGGGAATTACCTGCTACCTGATGACTTGAATCATAAAGTCTGTTGTTATGACTTTAATGGAATAGATGTGTAATGTGTGGTGTGAACAGTTTAACACTCAAGAACAACACAAAAACAAAAACAACTTAGCTTTGGGAGGTTAAGAGGATTATTGCCATGGACCCTGGGTTTCTGCTCAAGTGTTGGATTTATTTTTAGATTCTTGTATTTATGGTGTTTTGAGTTATTAATGAGATTATTTTTGTGTGTAAAAATTCCTAAATCCCATGTATTCCCTAGAATCCCTAGTGCTCCAGTTTTGATCATGCTGATTTCCATTTGGTTTTGCTATTGGGTTACCAGCCTAAATAAACAGCTGGCTTTTTGTCCATACTCCAGCTCACTCTATCTGCATTTGGGTCCTCACTACATCCCACTCCACCATGGCAGATTAAAACCTTTCAGTGGCATTTGATGACTACATTTTCAACTACTTTCCTGGCAAAAGGGCTTACAAATGATTTTATGACGATGTAATGGTGGCCCGTCTGCTTCCACCTACATCTTGGATTCATCTGTGCACTCGTCAACATTTTCTCAAGCGGGCCTCAAACTCTGAAAGAGACTATTCTTATTAATGTGTATTTTTAGCAAAAACATTTATTCTGAAAAGATGAGTTTCAACATATAAAATAAGTTGTATATGGCAAAAATGCTATTGATCCACCTTACAGACTAAGAGAATAGCTTCTTCACATGAAACATGAAGCTCAAACAGACTTTGCTGTCATCAAATGTAGAAAAATAAAAACCTCACAGAGGAAGGAAACCATGGCAACATAAACAGACTAAAGACAGTATATCAACAGTCAGCAGCATCTCTTGCAGCTGTTGTGCGTTTAAGAATGGTCCATGGAGCAGCGTCCACTCCAGTAGTTCTAGGAGCAACAGCGCTGGAGGACTTTTTTGAAGAAGTTCCTGAACTCAGTGTTGAAGACAGTGTATATGATGGGGTTCAGGGCACTGTTGACATAGCCCAGCCACGTCACCACGCTCATTAGGGCTGGCGGGATGTGGCACTCTTGACAGCGTGCTCGCATTGTGTGGAGGACAAAGAAAGGAGTCCAGCAGAATAGAAAGACACCTTTGGGAGAGAAACAGGAATCAGGAGATGAATGCTTCATCTCTGTGAAATCAATACTGCTGATCCTAAAGAGCAAAAAGTCAGTGTTTACATTTCATTTTAAAGTTAAGCAAAACAGATATCATTCACATACTATGCATATTAACATAGTATTAATATATTTAGTTGTGGACAGAGGTTTACATACATTTATCATGCACATGAATGTCATTGGACTTCTAGTGATTTGATTGGACTGGTCTTTTTCCAGGGTGGAATGACTAAAAAACAAGAATTCAGGGTCCAGAAATTTGAATCCACACAGAGTCAAAAGTATACATCCAGGGCTAAAAATATATGCATTCGTCCCCACTGATATTTCAATAAGGAGAGATTGTTTGGAAGAATTAAACAGCATTTATTGAGATACAGAATTCACTTAAGCTATTTGACCACACTGACCCATGATAGCAGAACAGATCTCACTGTTGATAGGATTCAAAGGCGACGACTGGATTACAGCAATGGTGTCAGCATTGAGTTTGGTGTTAAGGGAAAGTTGAAGTAATGATAAGAATAGATTCTTTGCACACTCAAGAAAGCAAGCAGATGAGTGAAACTCAGTTGTGTCCAAGTTTTAACCATCTACAAGTTTCCAACTTGAGGTGAAGTTGAAGAATTTGGAGGTAGTTCTTCTTCATTACTCTATCCACTTTGTGTATGTACCAGTGCCACTAGCAGCAAAACAACCTTGGGGCATGATGTCACCACTACCACTCGTATAACAATCGTTATAGTGTTCTTAGGTTTTAAAGTCTCATCATTACTCCCTCTTTCACTGGCTAATAGCTCAATATTTGTCTTGTCTAACCATGAAACATTTCTCCAGGAGGCATTTGGCTTGTCTATGTGGGCAGTTGCAAATTTCAGTCAAGCTTGAAAGTCCCAATTTTGGAGCACAGCTTCTTTCTTGGTCAGCACGGTCTCAATTCATCGCAAAGTAAAACTCACTTCCTTGTGGACACTGATGCTAGTGTTCCAGCAGTTTCCAATTCATGGCAGGATTGGGTGTTGGTGATTCCTGAATTGTTCCTGAACATCCTTTTCCTATCTTTTGAGGGTGAAAGATTGGGTCTCCTTCGAGACTTTGGCAAAGTGGTGACAAGTCTAAATAACTTGTACTTGCATACAATTTTTTAAACTGATGATTTTGGAATTTGCAGTTGTTTAGAAATTGATTCATTCAAGAGACCTTCCCAAATTATGTAAATCTACAGTTCTCCTTGTTTGATCTACACTAAGTTTTATGGACTTTCACACTGTTCTGAATATTAGTTAGTCCAATGAGTGCTTTCAAACAAATCCTTTTTATGCTGGCAAAGGGAAACTACTAGTTTTATTCAATCACAGTCACTAACAAGAAATTAGGTCATGGTTTTGTCAAGTTAGCAAATTATAGAACCTTCATGACCACTTATATTATATTTATGAGAATCTGTGTATATATTTGAGCCTGTATATATTATTTTGACCATGTGTCAATTAAAGAAAATCCTGAATGAATGCAAATTTGTGCACCCAAATCTGTTTTTAAGTCATGAAAGATATATGCTGTACAATCATTCCACCCTGGAAAAAGAATAACTCAAATGATGGACCAAAATGACCATGGCATGCATGCCCATGATGTCTGTATGTCAATTTCTGAACAAAAATGTAGATAATCAAGCTTGTTCAAGTAGAGGAGTATCTCCCCCGCTATATGGCAATTAACCATCAGGATTGATGATGACAGGATGACAGGATTTAGGACTGAATCGCCTGGAATGTTGATGACGAGTCACCACAGCAGCAGATGAAGATGGAGATAATGAAGATTGAAAATGCTGTACAGTCTGGTTTAAAGTGGGACACCTGGTTACTTTAACCCACTAAGTGCCCTTCATATCTATCTACCTACTGGGATTGAACACTAACTCTCATGTTATGATTTTTGGATTTATTCCCAGTATTTGTGTTGTTCTGCATGTTTTGGATCTTTGTCTTGTTAAATAAATGTTTAAACCACCACATTATGGAGCCATTGCATCAAAGTAGAAAAAACTAATTACTGTGCATCACTATAACCTCTGGTCACAAAAAGACTATACCAACACTCGCTTTTGTCCACCGAGCCTCTCTGATTAACTAACTCGGTGTATATACATCTTTCTCAGGCTACCTGTACCAAAAATTCATTTTTTAATTTGGTAAAAGTCCACTTAGGACATTGTAACTTAGAGTTTCTTTCTCTCATATTTTCTCTCATTGATCCCATTGATAACGGAGAGCACCTGACCCAAACACAATTTATACCTATTGATAAAACAGTGCTCGCAATGAGCTTTCTAAAAATATTTTTTCCTTGACTAGTACTGTATAAACCACCTAATATATTTGGATTATATTGCTCAGACTGTCACTTAAACATGAGCCTTACCTGCACACTTAAACATGCACCTGACATGGCCTTAACCAATAATTGGATTTGAGATTAAGGAGCTGTAAGGATTGGCTGCTGTGTGCTAAAGGAAAGCACTTGTTCGCATTAGGGAGCAAAGCTGGATGCTATTAATAGACTGACCCCTTTCTAATTGATCTGTTAGTGCCTCGGGATAGGCATCAGAGGTGGCGGTGAAGAGTTCAGGTAGCTGCAGAGCAGAGATGTCTGACATAACAACATCCACTTTAAAGGTTCACCGACAATCAAATCTCCAGCAACAGTTTTAGCAAGAAGGACAAGAAGAAAAATAATGATGGTTGATTGTTTTTCAAATGACAATATATATTTTGAATATCAGTAAGTATGCATAGCTTCTTCAATGACCTGATTTAGAGGGGATCAGGCTTTCATGTCAGGATCAGGCTCCTAGACTCTGGAATATTCTGCCACTTGATATTCATACTGCAGGGTCCCTCCAGTCTTTTACATCCCGTCTTAAAATTCAATTTTATACCATTGCTGTTAATTCAAGCTCAGTTTGAGTCCCATCATGTTTTTTATGTTGTGGTGTCTTTGTTTTAGTTTGTTTTTGTCACATGATATTGTATTTGTTTGATTTCATGTTTTCTTTTATTGTATTTATTTTATTATTCTAGCGTTTTATCTTCGTTGATTTGAATTCATTTTGAATCAACCATTAATCAACATCAGAAATCAAATTGACAGTGTCATTGATTTTAACTCTGAAGAGGTGAGTCTGATGTTTTTTGGAGTTGGGAAGAACATCCACCTCAGACACCATAATTTGAGATTAAGCCTCGACTGACATTCAAATAAAAATGAGCTAGAATTAGAGCTGAGGCTGAACATTGATAATAGTCATCACATATATTGCTTAACTACTGCGCTGAAACAAAAAATGTATTTCTTCCTCAGCTGCTCACCAGACTTAAATGATTTTAAGTGTTTGTTAACCAATCCAAATATATATATATATATCCATTATGTTTTGGTGTTTTGACCTTTCAACACCATTTATATCTTTAAAGTGGGTAAAATTATCCCTGAAATCCAGACTCTACACCAGCCGCAGGGCCCACCTTTATTGTGTGACACTTAAATTGTTCCATTTGTTTGTGTTACATCAGTGTTGTTCTTAGTACAACAAGATTTGCTGCACTTTGGGCTTTTGTAAGCCCAGGGCAAGTTCTTAATTCAGCCTTATGTGGTTAGGATGTTACTGAAAACAAGCCCAATGATGTTGATTTCTATAACAGGACTTCTATCAAATATAGCTCTAAAAATATATATTTCCTTAAGCAGAACATCAAGGAAAAGTTAAAGTGTTCAATTCCGTGTTTTCCGTTGGCCTGCCTCCTCAGCATTCAGAGTCCAACCAATGCCACAGCAGCGACAGGGCCAATAACAACAGCAAACCAATTTCCACTACAAAGGCAGCTTGGTTTTAGATTATAACGTTTTCAGTTAAAATGTTTCCTCAATGCTGCTGAAGGAAGTGAACTCACCCACAACGACAGGAAGCACCTTCATAGCCTTCCTCTCGCGGCTGTTGATCTTGGCCCTTTTTCTTCTGCGCGGGTCGTGGTTGAACTTAATCTCTGCAAAACTGACCGCTGGCACAGGGCCGTCTTTGTTCTCTGTTGAGTTCGGGGGCAGGTCTGGGGACTGCAGGGTGGATGCTTCATCGAGAGTATCTGCTGGGTCTCGCTCTATAATGGGAGGCAGCAGAGGTGGCAGCGAAGCCAGAGGAGGCAACGTGGCTGTGGCCTCCTGCAGCTTGCGGCACGCCTGGATGCTGTCCTTCAGCTTGGCTTTACGTGCCTCCTCCCATCGTCGCAGGCCGCGGAACATGCCACAGTACAGCAGCAGCATGATAGGGCAGGGGATGAAGAAGGAGCAGACGGAAGAATACAGAACATAGTCATCATTCTCTAGTTTACATTCCCTCGGATCGCGGCCTGGGACATTGTTGATGCCAAAGATGATTGGCGAGGCTACAGCCAAGGCCAGGATCCAGGTGGCCGACAGCAAAACAACTTGCCGCAGGTCCACATGCTTCCTGTTGTAGTTGAGTGGGATTGACACAGCGATGAACCTGCAAGAGGTGCCAGAAATATGGCATCACAGCCAGCCTAGAGCTTCTACACTAGGTTTAGGTTTTGTTTATGATATATGGTTCTAATTTGGTACTGATGGTGTTTTGTGTTATTATCCTTATTTCTTGTCCCAGTATGTCCAAAAGTATGCAGTGGTCTTACAGCCACAAAAGAACAAAACCCATCCAGATGATTTATTTGTTTTGCTAACCCTACTAGCAGAAGAACTAAAACTATTTTTAAAATGTCTCAAGGTGGGCTTGAAGGATTTATCCTCTGGTATCAGAATGCACTGTACATTGTAGTTCTCCACACTCAGAGTGCTCATCACAGGAAGGCTGTCTGCTGCTGAGAACACCTAAAATGTTATCTTAACAATTCTTTAAGACTGAAGGCAATTTTATCTTTTTGTGGAAATAAAATCAAACTAACCTGAATCTTCACACTAGTGCAGAATTTAAGTACTCTTCAAACACTGCAGCCAGTAACTATGTGATTAGTTACAGTTGGGACTGAAAGATGCTGTAGCTGTAGGATGTTTCCTGTGTAAATAAATAAAACTTTGAAAGAAGCCCCTAGCCCTCTAAAGTGACTCTGTCAAACCGGCTGCTTATCAGGCAGCTTTTTAAAAACTAGAAGAGTTCCTTCTTCAGACCTGAACATTAACAGCAGGTGGACTCTGTGTAGACCTTCAGATTCTGCCTCCTGACCAGCCTCTTGAATTATTCAGACTGTCATCCAGTTAAACCTCTAAACGCTGCTGGCTACTTCAAAAAGCTTCAAATCATCATCATCAGTCCACGTTAACTTCACTGCTCCCCATCAGTCTTTGATGTAATCATATTTTCTGGAATCAGGACATCAGATTTGAAGAGCATCCTGGATTTTTGTCATCCCTCAACATCGGCTGAGAGTTCAGATAATCTCATTGAGACATACTAACAAGCGCCGAGCGAACCTGGCGGTTCATCAGCCGTGGACTCATCCCTCATTTGGAGATTTAAATTATTTTTGTCTTTTCTGGGGGGTTTTCTTTTGGCGCTTTTACAGGAGTCAAAGACAAAAGGTTGCCGACATATCAGAACCATCGGACCCTGACAAGCTTTGGATCTGATGGTGTCCCTGAATGTTCCTGAATCACGAGAGGCCAGTTAAAACTCTTGAGTCTCTACATTAGTTGTGAATCTTTACCTCATTCTTTTCATCAACTGTACAGCTTTTCCTCACATATTTTCTCTAGGAGTCCACTCCGGGAATGAACACGTGCACTTTAAACCTGTATCTGTTTTTCCAGTATTGTGGTCCAAGCTACAACGGAGTGGCTGTAGTTCAGGAGATAAAGCAGATCATCTACTAATCGGAAGGTTGGTGGTTTGATGGCAATTCCAGTCTGCATGCCAAAGCATACTTGGGCAAGATACTGAACCCCAAGTTAGTCTCTGATGCGTTCATTATATGAATGTGTGTGACTCTCAGTTAACGCTTAAGCACTTAAACATAGAATAGTGTTTGTGTGAATGAGGAATGTTGTATAAAATGCTTTGAGCCCTTCAGTAGAGTAGAATGTATAAGATAAATATAAGATCATGTATCATTCATTAGTATCTATCGATGTACTATCTACACAAAAATATTTTGATGGGATACAGAGTCTTGTGACGTCTGTTTGAATTTTCTAGTTGTTTTCTTGATATTTATCTCAACATCTACTTTATAGTTTTGCACAAAATCTAGTCGGGACATTCATAACACCCAGATGATGAGTCATACTCACTCATTTTCTCAGTTCTCTTATTTTCAGTCATGATCTTTTAATTTTTTTGTACAGAGGATGGAACAACTTGGCCTGAAAGTCATTTAAACTGGCCAGTAGCATTTCAAAGTGTTTCCTGTGATGTATCTCAAGATGTATGTTTGTATAGATACATTCCTGAGTTCCGAGAGAATGGAGAGTACTAAGATATATCTGATGATCTTTTAACTTTTAATTTCACCACAAGGTTAGAATGTGTGGATTTAAATGAAAAGCTAACATCTTGTTTCCCACAGGATGACATTAAGTGAGAATTCCACCTTCCACTTACCTTGGTGGTTTGTACATTTTCTAATGTCATGTTTAATAACTGAATAACTGCGAAGTTAATGAACTGAACTTAGCACTTCATTAACAGATTAAATGTCTGCAAGCTAACATGGAGAGCATCTTCTAATAGCCTGATAGCACCAACGTTATGAGCAACATGGCAGCTCCCTGAAATCGATCTTAAAGTTCAATCATGCAGATCAGACTAAAAAGATCTCTGGTTCCTGCTGTCTCCATTTATTCTAAGCACAGGTCTACTTTTTAGTTAGAGTGTTGAAGAAAAAAATACCCCGACTGGATGCTGTTAGGCATTTTAACAGCTTTAAGAGGGGGAATAATTCAGATCCATACTGTTACTAAATGAAAGAAATACAAAGGGTTTAAAGTGTCAAACGTCTATGGTTTGTAAGGTATGGAACATCAGCTATAATAGGACAACAGACACAGAACAGCCACAGTCCTCTGTGGAAAGTTCAATCCTAATCTGAGTGGCATCTTTCACAGAACCTACTGCTGTAAAACATATTACAGTATTCGCTCCATTAAAAAATATACATTACTACATTATAGTAAATGCTGCAGGTATTCTTAGGTACTTTTTTGCATTATTTTGACATCAGTGATTAATACTTTAAAAGGCTTTAGGACCCCTGTGGTTTCTGAATTCTTTTTTGTGTTGTCATGGGAGTGTAACAAGAGTGAAGAGTTTTTAGAGTGTAAAAAGCCTAACCTTCCTCTTTTGGAAGGACCTGGCTCCAAGTGGAAAGCTGTGGCAGGTTTCAAATTCCCGTGCTAACCAATGATTGAAAGTCACACCTCTTTATGTTCAGTATATGCTGAAAGCCATAAACATAGAAAAACAAAATCTTTCACACAGCTACTGGTCCAGAGCATTTAAACAGGCTGGTGTTAACTGCTGTTCAAAACAGCAATATGTGAACTTCAAGGGAAGAGGCTGCAGATGTATGGTCTTCTTGAAAGCAATATAACTTTCAATGAGACCCAACTGTTCAAGAACAATTTGTAATTGTTCTTAAAATTTTGTTCCAAGAAATTCAGCTCATATTCCTATTGTCAAGATCACTGACCTACTGGCACTTCCTGTATCATCACCACCAGGATGAGATTTTTGTTAAATACCATCCATCAAACGAACTGCTGATTGTCTGCTGTTCTCTTGCAGTGCGGCTTCACTGTAAGGGAACAACACAAGGTCCTGCTGTGTGTACCTGTACAGGTGAGTACTGACCTGTCAATGCTGATAGCGCAGAGATTGAAGATGGAGGCAGTACACAACATAACATCCATCGTCATGAGACCATCACAGATGGTAGTGTTGAGGGTCCATACACCATCCTGGAACTGAGAGGCAGACAAATGCTTGTCGTTTAATGTTTACTCATACCAAAAATTACCTTGACACGCAATCTGAAATCAAAACGGGCCTTCTTCTCTATAGTTTCTTTATGATACAAAGTTTGAACGTATGCAATGATTCCTATGATATGTTAGCTTCATATATCAAATACTTTTCAGGCTGTATTTTCAGACCATTTTTTCCACACATTGAAATCAGAGTCAATTGTTGAACAGGAAGTTGAAAACTATTAAAGATAAAACCTGAACATTTCACTTCCCCTTCTTATTATAAAAATGAATCCAGAGCTGTCATTTTTCTGTAATAAGTATTTGACATATGAAGCTAAAATTTCACAGCAATTATTCTGCCTGTCCAAACTTTGGACCATAAAATTTGTATGCAAATCAGAGATGGTTGAGCATAAAAAGGTCTGAAACTTTGGTGATTTGAGATTTTTTTTTAAAAAAGGAACTGCACTCCACCAGCTAAAGGTTGCTGGCAGCCTTTGATATTTAAAAAAATGCTTTTTTCTTTATTTTGTTTTATTACCTTCAAGTCACTGTATGTTCGTGCAGAGTGATGTGCCACTGAGTAAACAGGACGTTTGACCTAGACTGAGCTGTCCTGTCCAGCATCTTTACCAGGTCATAACCCTGTCAAACCACCACTGACCTTTGCTTCAAACCTGCAGAGCATTGCATAAAAACATCACTCTGAACTCTGAAGATCAATAAGGAACAATGAAAGGCGGTGATATGGAGTCATTAGAGAATATCTTTGCTGACAAAAGCAGTTTTGGGGTGATTGTGATTTTCATAGCTGAAGATCAATTTGTGTATTACACAAACTGTCTCCTGGTTTCTGCATGGGTCTTACTGTTTTTCACCAATTTTAATAACATCGACTGCCTAGTTTGTTTGTTTTTTGGTTTGTTGCTGTTTAATATTTTATGCAAAATCTATATAATCTTTTACAGAAATAAAACTCAAAGATCAGAAAATGTAAGCACGGAATTTCTATTGTGAAAATTGACCTTTTATGTAGCAGCAAAATGTTTTTGGTTTACTTTGGAATTAAATATCTCAAGTCAACCAGCTCCTGTGAATTTATGTTTGACATGGATTTTAAAGAGGTAATGGATTCTGCTATTATTAGGATTTATTCTGCACATTTAATGAACTTTTTAATGCCTTTTCAAATAATTTGTTGGTTGAACGCCATCCAGAACTGCTACTGCAATGACCTGCCATCTGGTGCCCAAAGACTCAGAAAGAGATCCAACCGTTTTTAGGGTCCCTGAATCTAAATACTCCTGTGAGATTAGGAGCCTAAGACATAACTGGAAGCTGTGTCTCTCATTTATGGGATCTTCTCAGTTAATTAACATCTCCAAAGACGTTATGTTCCGTCGCATCTCACCTCCGAATAGACGAAGAGCGGCAGCACGAGCACCGCCAACATCAGATCCGCCACTGCCAGACTCACGATGAAATAGTTGGTGGTGGTTTTCAGTGCCTTTTCGACGAACACACTCAGACACACCATCAAGTTGCCGCAGATGATGACGACGATCAGCAGCACCCCGAAAACCAGGGCAGGCAGGTTGTGCAGTGCCGCGGTCGCTGTCCCCGCCTCCTGCGCTGCGCTCAGGTTTGCCACCATCTGCGCCGCGTCGGTCTGATCCCGTCCGAGCCACAGCAGCGCGGCCAACGGGCTCATGAAGGCCGAGTTGGAGTCCGACTGCCACACTGTAGCCTTATCATGCTGTCAAACAGACTCCACTTAGACTGTAGCAGACTGTAGTGACGAGCTCCAGTGCGCACCGTTGCGCCTTTTACGCAAAAATCCTCTGCGTAAAAGCAGATGGACAAAAACACAAGTTGGTATTTACAAAGTTAAACTTTTATTTAAATATTAAAAATATGGTGATGAAGTCAGATTTTTGTCACAAAGAATATTTAGTGATTAAAAAAAAATCCAGAAGAATACAGATGCAGTTCTTGGCGCATTAAAATCTTCATATCAATAGAAAACTGCTTCTTTCTTTAATGCTGGGAAGATAGCCGAAGGACTCTGCGGTCAGACAGCAGAGAAAGTGTCGTGCCGTGGATGTTTCCAGCTCCGGAGTGTTTGCCTGCAGCCCGCTAGCACAAAGGCCACCGAGGCCAAATTAACCGATTAAAGCCGCTTATCACCTGCGCTTTACGGTGTCCTTCAGCCCTTGAGCTCCAGCAGAAGTTTGTCCATCTGTCTGTTCATCTGCGTGCATGCGTATCACGGAGACGGGGGGAGACAGGAGTGGCCACTGCAAAAAAATAATTAATTAATTAATTACATAAAAATATCCACTGAATTTGACCTCGCTACCGTATTTGTGCTGTTGGTGCATTTTGGAGCAAGTTTTGATGAAATTAAGTGGGGAAAAAAATATTATTTTGTTTCTGATCAGTACAGTTGTAGCATTAGTTTATCACTCAGCATTAATTAGCTCATACACCTTTTGGATACTCCTTGATATTTAGGATTGCTGGCCTTATCTGATAACTAATCTGATTA